CTTGCCATAACTTTCCCATTCTATCATGTATACAAAGGCTGTCTGGAAAGTATCCAGCCATGTAACCATTCTTGTTATATTAACAATGGCTGGATACTCCCCGGACAGCCCTCTTGCGCAAGCAATGTAAAGATAACTATACTAAACATTGACTTTTCTGTATTTCAGGGACTATGCTATAGTATAGTGTTTTATTCCTTACAGTATAAAACTGACAGGATAGTAGTGATTTACTCCAACTGTATTTTTCGGAAATCTTTATATTGCTCACTATATAAAGATCTGACTGATCAAGAAATACTGTTCTTGGACACACGGGTAATAGGAGCTGTTTGCTAGCCTGGCTGGTTGTCACTGCACCATCTCATCAATTACTCTGATTTTTTTCTTCATGTCTTCGTAGCCACTTCCTGAGAAGTTTGTGGTGAAAGGTGTTGTGGATCGTTTTTCAGAAGAGTTTGTGGAGACCAGAAGAAAAGCTTTGGATAAATTCCTAAAAAGAATTACGGATCATCCTGTGCTCTCCTTCAATGAGCACTTTAATGTTTTCCTTACTGCTAAGGTAAGTACAGAATTTTGCATATTCCTCCCCCAAGTTATCATTCTTGGGGCTCTTCCTTAACAGCCGTTTTGATCTCTCACAAGCCACCTTCATGAATGGTCCATGATAGCAGGTGTCATAAAATTGCTCTATTTTTTGGTTCCCATTTACATTAGCATGATTTTTGTGTTAGAAGTCAAGAGATCCCTCCCACACCCCCACCGCCCCTTGCAGCAGCAGAGAAAGTTAGAATATTTTCACTTGCTAAAAGCAGAGATAAGTGTTTCCTTAAACACTTCTTGATAGTATTATTGGGTGAGGCCAGTCTGACCAACAGTGGGCACGGAAGGAAAAGAACATTCATTATTTGGTAAGGGTGTTTGTTCTTCACAATAGCCCTCTAAGTGATTATTCATAGCCTCATTTTACAGACAAGGAAACTGGAGTTTAGGAAGTTTATACTTGTTCAAGTGGTATCACTAGAATTTGAAATTGGGTCTTTGTGGCTCCTGAGGGCGCACTTTCCCCCTGTATCAGACTGCCCAACCCTTACTTGCCTGCAGCCATGTTCCTACCAGGTGGGCATTTTCCAAGCATTTGGAAAACATTTGGGTCCTACACAATTGCCAGATTCTATGAATTCAAACTCAAGTTGGCTGTTCATTAGCTTTTTTCTGCACTTCCCTGTTGGCAGAATTGGCCAGAAAACCTGAGGTGATCCACTCTCCTTGTCTGCAGAAATGGGGTCATATGCTCACACTCCCCTGCTAGCTTCCTTCCAGCCCCATCTGTTTGGTTTCAGGTGTCATGTTTCCATGTTCAGGCCATAAGTAATACGTTCCATGTTGGTAAGGGTGTTGAGGTCCAGATGCTTTCTAGTTTTCTTTTTCACAATTGCAAAATTGAGAGATACTTACAGATAACATCAGTCGATATTAAAGACTTTAGAGAGGGTGCCGTTCCGTACTCCGTGGAAACCATATGAGTACCAGCAAAGTCCTTTAGTTTTGTTTTGTGACCTCGGTTGGCATTTAGCCTTATTGATGACTTTCCCATTCATTGTCTCTTTTTCCCAGAGGCTTTTTCCTCCACAAGTTGAACTTGAATACTTTTAAAAATAAGTATTTCCTGGTGAACTAATCCTCAGGTATAGTTCTTTCACCTTAGAGTAAAATCCATCCTGTTCTCCAAAAGTGCAGCTCACTTTCTCGCCCAAGGTTTGTTGTGTAGAAAGCCTCAAGCTTAGTCATCTTTACTGAACAAAGAAGAAAAGGGGGAAAAAGCTTGGACCCTGGTCATTAGGAATCTGCATGAAGAACCAGTAGGAGAGAGAGAGAGTGTGAGTGTGTGAGAGACTGATTTATCTGTGGGCCAAGCCGTGTGAAAATGATTTTTAAAAATATAGAAGGTCTTTCAGTGTCTAAACCAAAATTCAGCTTCATGTGAGTGAATACAGAAGAGGTGACTTTAAACAGAACAGATCCTGGCCCTAGTTCAGTATTACTTGCTGAACTAAATGTGCTAAATAGCCCTATCTTTTTTAAAAAAAATCTTTTAAATTGTGATAAAGTACACATACTGTAAAATTTACCATCTCAACCATTTCTAATTGTATAGTTCAGTAGTGTGTTAAGTGCGTTTGTGTTGTTGTCCAACTGATCTCCAGAACTTTTTCATCTTGCAAATCTGAAAATCTGTACCCATTAAACAACAGCTCCCTATTCCCCTCCTCCAGCTCCCCCATCTTTTCCTTTGACGTACCTTGAATACCTTGGTCTTGCACTTACGTGTTCTGCCATAGAGAACACAGAGACGCTCTTCCTTTTTCTCATGGTGATGTGAGCTTGTCACAAACTGGCAGCGTCCTTAAGAAAAAGCCAGCAATGCTGGGAGAAGTGGAGGAAGGTCAGTATCAACTATGTTCAAGTCAGTATGTTCATCTTTGGCCGAATGGGTGCAGCAATCAGATAGTTACTACCAGATGACTTTATTCAACATGTTAATTAACTTGATTAACTGGCGACGCCCTTTCAAAGCTCTGCTAGAGCTTACACAGTCCAACGAGCCAATTTGAATCTAGCCCCACTCTAAAAAATATTGTCTGCGGAAGCAATTCCAAGAACCCTGAGGTTTCAGTTATGGCCTTGTGCAGACCTGGTGCCTTTGAGGAATGTTTCTTGGCTAGAGTGTGGGAGGTCAGCAGGGGAGATGGAATCTCTAGGACGTTCTTCTCGCAGGCAGCCTGTCTGAAGGGAAGGAGAGAGATGGAGATGGCTAGAGGGGATGGCCGCTGTTTTAAGATGGGTGAGCCTTGGGTGTATCTCACATGCTGAAGGGTTAGAAGTTGAAGGTACAGACAGGAGAGGGGACAATTGATAGGCCAAGGGCCTTGGTTGGGTGGAAGTGTGGATGCGAAAGGGTGGAATTGAGCGGAAATGAAGGCCTGGGCTGCATGAAGCAGGGAGGGACATCACAAGGAGCCTGCATTTCAGATACTGTGGTGACCTCAGCCTGGGAGTGTGTGTCAAGCGAGTGGGGGCTGCGTTAACTGTGAATCCTGCGTTCTCTGCTCCGTGACTGCCTCAGCCCAGGTCACCAGAGAGCTATAGCCTTGTTCCACGTTCCCTTATCTCCCAGTAGACATGCCCTTCTGGGGCTGGGAATTATTACATCCAAAATGCAGGCTCCTTGTGATTAATAACATTGATAGCATTCTGTTTGTGTTGAGGGTAGATATGAGGAACAGACACTTGCATCTTCTGTGAAACCATTTTTGAAGGTGCCATTTCAGTAAGTGACATAGGACTATCTGAACATACTGTAGACTCCCCTTAGGGTTTAATGATAGCAAGCAGTTTGTTTTACCTGGCAGGCTACTATGCTTTTAAGTTAGGTACAGTGGGTTATGAAACTTAACATATTTCCTGTTTTTGCCTTGACCTACAAGAAATTCAGGGTTAACATGTTTTGTTGTTTACAGCATCTGTCCTTGGCCTGAATTTCCTAGCAGTGCTTTTTCTGTTGCTGTTTCCTGCTTTCCACCCTCAACTCTCCCTAGATGGCTTTGGTTGGGGTGTAAATATTAATAAATGAATGGATGAATATCTGAACCTCAGCTCTTCAGTTTTGCTCCTAAAGACAACACAGAGTGATTTGTATGGGAGAAAGGGATACTTTTTTAGACAGAGTTTTAAAAAATTATGTTAGAAACAGTGTTGTGTTTAAAGGTGCTCATGTGAGTGAACCTGATGAAAGTATCAGAATCAGGCTCTGTTGAGAGGGATCTGGGTGTAAACAGACGGCAGTGTGATCTGGTGGTTACTGTGTCAAGGAGGGAAGCCTTGTTTGTATGAGCTTAGCTCCCCTAACTCAGCTCCTTGTTCTCTAAGTCCTCTGTTTCCAAATAGAAGCTGCCTTTAGCAGTTGGTTCACTTAGTCCTGGCCGTGTGAGCGATTGAGCGTTTTGGGTCTGTTCATGTGTCACCCTCAGGACCTGAACACCTACAAGAAGCAGGGGATGGCATTGCTGACCAGAGTGGGCGAGTCAGTCAAGCATGTCACCGGCGGCTACAAGCTGAGGACTCGGCCTCTTGAGTTCGCAGCCATAGGTGATTACTTGGACACGTTTGCTCTCAAACTGGGGACCATTGATCGAATAGCCCAGCGGATCATCAAAGAAGAAATAGGTGAGCTCTTTGTTGAGATCTCGATTATGCCCCGCGACCACAGTGGCAGAAATGGCGTTCACATGTGCTGAGCAGAATGAAACCACAGAAATGTTGAAGTGACAGAACTAGGCTGTATTTTACTTGTAAAACAAGTAAATATAAGCAGGAGGAGCTAGCTGTGACTGGAATGTAATTTTGCACTCCATCCTTTGTCCTACATCCCAGCCTGTGTTTGCTTTTCCCACGGCAAACAACCATTCCGGGCTTTTCCTCCTTTATCCCTCTTAACTTTAGCTTTAAAAGTGGAGACATGGACTCAGCTGCCCTTCATTCATAGGAATGATAATTTTAAAAAATTTAGATGTCTTTTCTGGCAGAACGATGGTTCAAAAGGGCAGCATGGTGACCTGCATTTGCCAAGGTTATGACCCTAACGAGGCTTTAGACTTGAAGTTGACTCACCCGCCCCACCCCTGGTTCATTTCAAACCCACTCCTGAGCTGGGGAGTTGCCCAGGCCTGTGTCTGTCCTTCCTGGCTGTGGCCACCACTTCCTTCCCACCCTCTCACGGTCACATCCCAGAATGTTGGGATCTTTCATGTCCTTACGTACATGTAGGCCAGACAGGCCCAAACAGTATTAATGATCATGCTGGCACATGAGACACCTTGGAAAGGCTTCTCCAGCAGCTGCCATTCAGTGGTTACTAAAGAAGGGCAGCAATTTTCTATTGTAATGGCAAGAATCCTGGTGAACGATGGACCAGGTTTTCTTTGTAGGGGGAAAAAAATCCGCATTTTTCCTTGTTCCCTGTTCTTGCTCCCTTTCCTTTTATCCACTGATGAGCATGTCGGGCCCATCGGTTTGAGAGATGGCTTTGGGTTCCATCTGCATCTGGGGATTGTGTGGGGTAAATTCTGGTGGGACCAAGGTGTTGGGATGACCACCGAGTGAGAGAGTGAGTCTGTCGGTGTAAGACTGCATCTCCTGTGTCAAAATGTTTCCTAAAATTCCATTGTTTTTCCATTGTTACTGATTTTTTTTTCCTTTAAAAACATCTCCCTAAACATGAAACTCTGCTCCCATTGCCTATGAAAATGGTGCTTCACAGTACGGGGTAGGTGAGTGGTTATTTTGTAAGATGTTTGGTGGGTGTAGGTCCTGCCACTTTTCCCCACAAGGCATTGTGGTGTGCGTTATCCAGAGGCATGGCCTTCCCATTATGGGGCGGAATGGATTGATGTTCTGATGTCAGTGGTAACATTTTAAAAATTATATTAGAAGCAGTGGTATGTTTAAAGAAGAGTGTGGTCAGCTGAGTGAACACCCAAAGAAACACAACTTAACATAGAGAGCTCTTAGCTGTGGATATTACTGAGTCAATAATACCAGTGATTGCTGCCCAGGCAGATTTTAATTTGTTTCTCTTGCCTGTGTAGAGTACCTTGTGGAGCTGAGAGAATATGGGCCTGTGTACTCTACGTGGAGCGCATTGGAGGGTGAGCTGGCTGAACCCCTAGAGGGGGTGTCGAGTTGCATTGGGAACTGCTCTACAGCCTTGGAAGAGCTGACGGATGACATGACTGAAGACTTTCTACCTGTGCTCAGGGAATATATTTTATACTCTGACTCCATGAAGGTAAGCTGGCTTGCTTCTCGTGCACTTTGGTACTTTCTTCGTAATGGTAGTTACCAAAAAGTAGTGGAGTGTTGCCTACTTGCATGTGGTACAAGTTTCCTTCTTTCTGGGTGGGTGGGATCAGACATGTGGACTGACATCACGGACTTATAAATAGAACACATGGTGAACTAAATATGTGAATTAAAGGAAACAGAGTTTGGGGAAAAATTCTGTCAGTGTTCTCTGAGAGTTCAAGTTGATATAAGGTCTCCTAAACAAGAACAGGATGCTGTGGAAAAAGAACAGATAATTAAATTAGAGCTCTTGGAAGTTAAAATATGATTGCTGAAATAAAATTGAATAGTAAAGTTGGAAGATGAAGTTGAGAAAATCTTAAAGTAGACAAACAAGAATAGTTGGAAAAATAGGACAAAAATGCAAAAGTACCAAAAATGTGAAAGAAAAGAGACATGGGGATTAATCCCAAAGATTCAGCGTCTGACTGATAAGAGTTCCTGAGAGGACAGGGAAAACGGAGGGAAGAAAATTACAAAAGAAATAATACAAGAAAATCTGGCCCAGGAGTTTGAGGCTGTGGTGAGCTGTGATCACACCACTGTACTCCAGACTAGGCAACAGGGTGACATCCTGTCTTTAAAAAATGAAAGAAAGAAAATCTCCCATAGCTGAAGACAGAAGTCTTCAGATTAAAATAACATGCTAATTGCCCAGCAAAAGGAATGAAAAGGTAGCCAACTCAGAGCATATCATTGTGAAACTTGAGAAAAAGTGACGAGATTTTGAAAACTTTAACCAAAAAAAAAAGAGGGGGCAGGTGGTGAATAAAAGGAATAAGAGTCAGAATGGCTCTGGTCTGGGAGCAATGAATGAAAAAGGAGAGAGGAACTATGAGGTCAAAAGAGAGAGGACCTTCTGATGCCCACACCAGAAACTTGCACAGCCTACACATGGACAGGTTGGGAACGTAGCTTTAGGGGACTCCTATCATGGTGGCACCAGCTGGAGGAAAGGGTCAGTCTTCCTGACCAACAGGAAAAGACACGCAGCTCAGTGTTGAACATCCCCACCTCCAAGTAGCCCCCTTCCTGTTTCTCAAAGGAGACCCCCGAATTACCAGTCCGTCTTTGGGGCAGGTCTGGGGCATCCCATTAGGAAAGACCTGGGCAGGGCCTGACCTGAATCTCCAGAGAGAGAATCCTGTCGGTCAACACTGGGCTGTAAAAATGGAAAACCAAAAAGGTCATAGAACTGTGAAAATATCCTACAGCTTGAGAGGGGAGTAAAAAATAACCAATCAACTAGTTATAAAAAGTTAAAAAGTTATAAAAAGTTAAAATAACAAACAAACAAAAACTTTATCAGGAGGCCAGGTACTGTGGCTGATGCCTATAATACTAGCACTTTGGGGGGACGAGGCAGAAGGATCACTTAAGGCCAGGAGTTGGAGACCAGCCTGAGCCAGAGCAAAGACCCCATCTCTACCAAAAAAAAAAAAAAAAAAAATAGCCAGGTGTGGTAGTACACACCTGTAGTTCCATCTACTTGGGAGGCTGAGGTGGGAGGATCGCTTGAGCCCAGGAGTTTGAGGTTCCAGTGAGCTATGCTGATGCCACTGTACTCTAGCCCGGGCAACAGGGCAAGACCGTGTCTCAAAAAACAAAAAAACCCCTTTATTACGGAAAACTTCAAGCATATGCAAAAGCAAAGAGAACAGTATGATGAACTCCGATGTGCCCAGCATCCTGACTCCATCTCATTTCGTCAGGTGTGAATATTCTAAGATTCTTGGTACATATTAAAGTGTGGACAAAGGAAAATGAGCCTCTTCCAGGTAGAACGAATCACAGTCTCATGTGATAATAAAACACTTTCAAAGACAGGATTGTGTCTGGATCTCACAGTGATCAGGGAAATGGCATGAATTTCCTAATCTGTAAGGGGGAAATGGTAATGGTGGTGGTGATGGGGATTAGATAAAGTTCAGATGTGAGATCGTTAGCCTGAGACAGCTTTGTTGGAACTGAGGCTAAAAACCAAAACTTCGGATTCCACATTTGCAGTTCATCCTCCTCTATCACATTGCCTTTTCTTTAAAAAATTGAGATATGCGTATTGTATTTTTAATCCTGTGTCTGAAACAAGTATAGAGAGGCATCCTGACTTGCTTAAAATGAACTAGAATATTTCACTTCACTTATAAAGCTAATAGTATCTGTTTTGTGAACAAAAATGAATTTTTACACAAAAATCCGGAATGTCCCCGATTTGCCCTTGTATAGCCACACCCTTCATCAAAACACTTCCTAATCTTGTCAGAGTAAAAACCCAGTGCATACATGGCACTGGGATATTATAATACAAATTTCTTTGTTCTTGCACATGACAAGTATGTCAGTACTTAATATATATTTGTATTTGAAGCAGGATTTAAATTGTTGCATAGCAAGGATTTATCTGGCATCTTTATTAAAACACAAGAGACACAAACATGCATGAGTAATTGAAGCTATACATCAAAGAAACATTTGTTTGCTTTCTTTCTTCACCCCACGTGTGAGGCATATGTATTGAGTTTCTTGTTGACTGAACCTGAAAAAATATCGATCAGGTTACTCAGGCTGGGAGAATGGGATTGTCCACCGTGTTGTCTGGGGAAGAGGTGGAAAAGAGGGAGTGTTGGCTGGCCCTCTCTGAAACCCACGCTCTGCCCCCGGGTGAGCTGAGCTAAGCCCAGTTAGGAAGGAATGAGGTCACCTGCTCCCCTCTTTGCAAGAGGAAAATGTCTCTGCAGAGTGTTCTGGGCAAGACAGGAGTGACTTGATGGCAAAGCCAAGACTGTGGTGGGATTGTCAGGGTCTGTGTGGCCAGGAAAAAAGACAACAGGAAGGGGAGGGTGTCCTAAGTGGCTCCCCTACCTGTTCACACTGCTGCTCTTTAAGAATTCTTAACTATATTTTATTCCTCTGAGAGAGACATATAATTCCATTTCCAAAATGACTTTCTGCTATTTGAGGTATAAGCCGGGCAGACTTTGCTCTTCAGTATGAAAACTAAACACGGGGCAGAGGAGTTGTGAAAAGCCTGGCTGTGGCACGTTCTTCACCAGCTGAGAGTCCTGGTTTTGTTTTGGGTTGGGGCTTATTGGTGTGGTGATGTTTCGTCAGTCTACTCCTGTTGTCACGGCCTTGAGTGAACCAAATGGTGAGTTTTGTCCTCATTTGGAGTCAGTGGCCTGTGCCTTAGGAACTTGAAATAGTTGAGAGGCTTGGTTGATTCCTGCATGGGGAAAGTGCCGGGGCTCAGGAAGCCCTCTACTGCTGGGGCTGCGGGTGGGGTTCCTCTCTGGGCTTGGAAGGACTTTTGGGATCATCTTGTTGAATTTGCTCATTTTTGAGATGAAGAAGAACCCTATGGGTAAGTCTCTTCTCTGTTCCGTGGCCACAGAATTGTACCCTCTTTTGACCAGTCACCTTGTAGGTGTGTGTTCAACTGCTTGCCAGGAGGAAAGCCAGGTGAGTGCTTTCCCCACTTGTATGTCTTTAAGGACAATTGTGGCTGCGTACGTTCTGTTCCCTTTGGAGGTAGAAAGAAAGCATAGAAGTGGGCTTATTATCAAGCCACGTGGAACAAATGGAGTGGTGATGTTTTAAGCTGTGAACAATGAGAACAGCTTGTGCTAGAAAGATGGTTGAAGGCATGTATTCCAAGGATATGTGGAGAGATAGCACACAGTGCCAGGGGGTGGCCGGGGGCGCAGGGGCCGGTATACCAAACTTATCCTCAAGCCCAGGACTCAAGTTAAACACCCTGTAGACACCTACAGGTGAGCCCTTATATGGGATTTCATATTCTATAGACTGTGTGTGTATGAAAATGTAATTAGAGACCATCTTAGAGTCCTTACCAAATTTCTGGCAGTGCCCTTAGAGTATTGGCATCATTATGACCAGGCCAAGAGTTGAAGTTTTATTTAAGGAGGTTAGGGTAGGACCATCTCATTTCCCACACTGCCTCATTCATAGAAGGTAGTCAGCAAATATTTAATTGGATTTGACAGTTTGGTGAATTTGGAACATTTACAAATATATAACTCTTGCATGCCATGCATCTTGTTATTTTTAAGAGAGAGATTTATCTATGTCAATGAGCATACTTACCTCAGAGGTCTTGGTGAATTACTGGAGTGGGGTGAGGGTCCAAAGAAAGAGTGGGTTGTAAGGGAAAGCCTCAGAGAGAAAGTGGCTCTGGCTGGAGACTTCAGTGACACATAGGAGCTACATGTGCAAGGATGGGAGGATGGAACATTTTAGGCAGAGGGAACAGCCAGTGCAAAAGTTCTAAAGCAGAAATGAGCTTGGTGTCTGCAGACCAGAAAGGCCAGTGTGAGTGGAGCCCAGGGAGCAAGGGAGCAAGTGGCAGGAGGTGGGGTCAAAGAGAGGTGAGGGCCAGTCCATACAGTAGCACCTTAAAGGCCATGGTTGGTAAGAGTCTGGATTTTATCCTAGGGAGTAGAAGGGAAGCAGTTTGGTTTTATGCAGGGGAATACCAGGATGCGACTTTTTACTTTAAGAAGACATGTAGCGCTGCAGTCTACAGTATGGAGACAGAGTGTAGAGAATGAGAGTGGAGATTGGCGAGACCATTTACCAGGATGTCACAGGGAGCCAGGGGCAGATAACCAGGTGGTGGAGCTTGACTGTGGTGGTGGTGAAGTGGGTGGATCTGGGGTATGTGTTGGACAAAGGACCGACTAGACTTGCTGCTGTGGGAAAGTGAAATAAGAAAGGGAGGAATTGGGGATTTTTGGCTTTAGCAGCTGGGCAGATAGTAGTACTGTTTATTGGGATGGGGAAGGTCCAGGGAGGAACAGATTGGGTCGTTGGGAATCAAGTGGTTTGGGCTATGTTGAATTCAGACATGCCTATTAATCATTCAGTGGAGGTGCCACGGCAGTTGGTTATGGAATGGTTGGGTTGGTAGGAGGAAAAAAAGCAAAGAATTGCCTCGGTGAAGCAAAGAGAAATGTTTTAAGGAGAAGGGGCAAGTGACCATTGGATTTAAAATAATAACATGGGCATCGTTGGTGATCGTGATTATAGGTGTGAGTTATGGATACAGAAGTTTTGGTTTAAAGACAAAGTTTACCTTCAACAAAGATACCTTCAACAGCATTCCTGGGTAGTTCTTTTCAAATGCCAGTTGAATTGACGGATGGTTCTTCAGCCTTTCCTCTTTTTCCCCGTAGCAGCCACAAGGTGGAGCGAGTGAGTCAAACTCCAGGGACGCTACCATTTGTGCTTTAGGTTGGCCATTTCCAGTGCCTTTCAAACACTGAAATGAAGATTTTTCTGGAAGATTGAATAATCAGGGAAAAAAATGTCCCTCTTTGTGAACAAAAGTGATTATAGATTGAGGGGCTAATTTCTCGCAATTGAGGAGAAAATGTGAAGAAGCAGGATGTGAAATGACATAAGCTTAAAAGTTTTAACAAAAATTTAAAAATATTAAAATTAAAATTCTGGGATTCCCAGTAATGGCAGACAGAATCCATATTTAAACTTCTTCTTCATGGAACCTCACCAAAATGAGACTAGAAGGATTTTTTTTTTTTTTTTTTTAGGTATAGGCCTACAAAGGCAGAGAGCAATGGGCAAGGAGATGATAGCAATGCAATTTGGAGAACTAGAAAGCCAACTGAGAGGAATCGAGTAACTTAAATGACTCAGAAAAGCTGATTTGGAAGCTGACTGTTGGTGGGGGGGACCTGAGAAGCCACCTGGTTTACACTGTGGAACCCTCCAGAAAGGTTGAGAATTGGCAGCACGACACCTCTCTGGGGCTGAGGGAGAGGTGGGGCTGAAGAGTAAGTCAGGAGTCTGTCTAAGAATCAGTCAGAGCTTCTAATTCTCTCCTCCCTCCTCACACAGCGGCCACTGTTCCTTCTCTACTCTGGCAGAATTGGGAGTATGTTCTCTGGAGGGAGTAAAATCGAGGGTCTCTGGAACAACAGACTCTAGGTACAGTTGAGGGTATTCAGTAAAAGGTTCCCGAATGTTGAAACTCCTACTCATCTTCTCCTGCTTGGCTCTCAGCATTGTATCTTCCATGCAAGGATGAGAAAAGCCTTTGCTAGAAAGTCTGAACAGCCCAAGAAAAGATGCCTAAAGATACTGATATTGGTGGGGGCAGAGAGGGACCCCTCAGTGAAGGGACCCAGCAGAGTCTCCTATAGAGAATTGTCAACAAGCCCTCTGTGTGGAGAGCTGTCAGCCGGTTTCTTTGGTGTTTCACTCTTGGATGAGTGGATAGACAAGTGTCATCAAATACTTAAGGAAAGATTCTAACATGAATATCAAAAGTAACAACAAAGAAGCAAAAGTGTATTCAGTGAAACATTATCGAGGGAGATGAGAATTTCCAGAAAAAGAAATCATTACCATCTTCCAAAAGAGAAGAGAAGATGTCAGAGCCACAAAACAAGAATTTTTAAAAATTTAGAGAAAAGCCCAAGCAACATAGCAAGACTCTGTCCCTACAAAATACAGAAAAATTAGCCGGGCATGGTGGCACGTGCCTGTAGTCCCAGTTACTTGGGAGGCTGAGGCAGGAGGATCGCTTGAGCCCAGGAGTTTGAGGTTGCTGTGAGCTATGATGGTGCCACTGCACTGTAGCCCGGGCAACAGAGCAAGACCCTGTCTCAGAAAAAAAAAATTCAGAGAACAAAGAGCTCTTGGAGGCTGGGCTCAGTGGCTCATGCCTGTAATCCTAGCACTCTGGGAGGCCAAGGCAGGAGGATTGCTTGAGCTCAAGAGTTCGAGACCAGCCTGAGCAAGAGCGAGACTCCGTCTCTACTAGAAATAGAAAGAAATTAGTCAAACAACTAAAAATAGAAAAAATTAGCTGGGCATGGTGGTGCATGCCTGTAGTCCCAGGTACCTGGGAGGCTGAGGCAGGAGGATTGCTTGAGCCCAGGAGTTTGAGGTTGCTGTGAGCTAGGCTGATGCCACGGCACTCTAGCCCAGGCAAGAGAGTGAGATTCTGTCTCAAAAAAAAAAAAAAAAAAAAGAAAGAAGAGCTCTTACAAATTGAAACCATGATAGGAATGAAAAAAAAATAGAAGAGTTAAAAGAAAAAGTTAAGGAAATTGCATATAAAGAAAGAAGGGGAGAGAAAAAATATGAAAATTAGAGAAGTAGATCATAAGGTCCAACATCTGAATAACAGAAGTACAGGAAGAGGAAACAGAAACGGGCAACATCAAAGAAGTCACTTAAGGAAAAAGGCTAGCGGTAAAGACATAATATATCACTGGTTGTGTCCGAGAGATGAAATTATGGATGACTTTTCCCCCCATTCTGTACATTTTTTTTTTTTATTTTCCAAATTTTGTGTAACAAATATCTTAAAATTAGGGAGAAATGCATGGTTGCAATATTATCAACATTGCCCCAGAAGATATAACTTGCAGGTGGTCCTGGTCTTCATAGAGTGAATGTATAAAAAGAGCATGTTGAAAGGGACAACCTGAGTTCAGTCATTTAACCAGAAATTGTGATCTCAGCAGGACCAAGTGGGTCCCATTTTCCTTCCTGCAGGGAAGTGTTCTACTAGAGGGCCACCTGAAAACAAGCCACAGGGCCACGCTGGGTATTTATTTTTATTCTCATTGGAACTTCTCTTTTTGTTACAGAACACCTATCATTGTACATGAATTCCTCTTGGGTCTTTTGGGTTGTCAGCCCTGGTGTACCAGAATATGAACCATTGTGTTCCGCAGTTCTCTACCTTTGGCTGAGCTGTTCCTGCTGCCTTCCTAGACTTCCCCAGCCCTGCATCCTAATGTCCCTCTTCCATAAAGCTTTGAAGCTTAAAAACTTTCAGACTTGAGGAGGCTTTGGCCTTTGGTGCTGGGACTCCGTTTAGACTGCCTTTTCTCCCTCTCACGGTTTGTGAGCCTATGGCCTCACCAGGGGAAGGCGGGAGCATGAGCTCAGGGGGTGGGGAGGGGTGTTGAGCTTTCCCGTAGACACTGACTATTGTGGTCCTTTCTTGGAAAAAACCCAGTACAGATGTTGAGCCAAACCACAGATTGCATCTGTGAGCTAACTCTTCCAGACAGTTTTGTCATTGTAAGATAAAGGCTTTTTGCATATTTTGTGGATGACATAATTCTAGGCCTTCTAATGGCCATTATTATTTGTCATAAACATTTTGGATCACAGGTATTATGTTTCCATAACACTTTTTATTATGGAAAAAGGTACTTTAGCTTACTTATTATAGAAAAATTCAAACATATCCCAAAGTAGAGCGAAAGTCTAACAAGCCCACTGTACCCCAGCCAGCGTCAGCGGTTGTTCACTTAGTGGTTGCTCACTCGTGTCCCACCTTGTTCTGTCTGTACTCCCACTCTGCTCCCAGTGCCCACCCTGGATTATTTTAAAGCAAATCCCAGACATCATATCATTTCATATAAAAACATTTAGGGCATATCTCTAAAATATAAGCGTTGTTTTTAAAAGAAAAAACTACCTTATTCTTACTATGTTAAAATATCCAGTTAGCATTCAAATTTCCCCAGTTGTCTCAGACAGTTTTTATAGTTCTTTTTCCAAATCGGGATCCAAATAAGGTACATACATTGGTTGATATGTTTCTTAAAAAAATTTTTTTTCCTCTAGAGACAGTGTCTCACTCTGTTGCCCAGGCTGGAATGCAATGGTGCAATCATAGCTCACAGCAGCCACGAACTCCTGGGCTCAAGCGATCCTCCTGCCTCAGACCCCTGAGTAGCTGGGATTACAGGCAGTTACCACAATGCTTGGCTATTTTTTTTTTTTGCTTTTTATAGAAATGGGGTCTCGCTATGTTGCCCAGGGTGGTCTTGAACTCCTGACCTTAAGTGATCCTCCTGCCTTAGCCTCCCAAAGTGCTAGGATTACAGTGCCTGGCCTGTTTCTTAAATATTTTAAAATCCCTCTTTGTCTATTCTTCTTTGCAATTTATTAAAGAAACCGAATCATTTTCCCTCTCTTCGTTGAGAAAGAAAGGTAGTAAGGTTCTAGACTATTAGGACCACTTGTAATCATGAAGTATTCTACATTAACAAGTATATAGTGTCCAAGAGAAATTTCTTCCATGTCTCTAATTAAAAGTCACCTTCTGAGTGTGCAGCCCTCCCTGGGCACCCTGCATACAATTTTGCCCTCCTCCAAACCCTTGGTGCTTCCTATCTTCCTTTCCTGTTTTATTTTTCCTTCTCAACACCTAGAGCCACCTTACACACTATGTAGTTTACATGTTTATTGTCTGCCTCTCTTATAGGATGTAAGCTCATGAAGGCAGAGGTTTTGTGTGTTTTGTTCTCTGCTGTATCTCTGCACCTGGATAGGTGAATGAAGATGCTTGAAGGCAGGGAAGAAAGAAGGTGAAGGTGGCTGTGTGGGGAGGGCAGGTGGCGCAGCATAAGGAGGAAGGTATCTCTGTGCACTTCCCATTTTGACTTGGCACACCCGTTAGAATCAGAGATCCCTATACAGTTCTGTGGGAAGCTCAGCTGATGACTATCTTCTGCCTGTCACCAAGTGATGGAGGGCCTCTCTGCAGACCCCGACTGGGTCTCTTGTCCCTTTCGCGCCACTGCATCTAAGTCATAGGATGGCTCAACCAGTTTTATCAACAGAGACTGGACTGGGAGCCCAGTCCTCTCAGACCATCACCAGCAGGGGCAAAGGTGTCCTAACAAGAATGCTGGTCTGAAACTGTTTTGATTCAGAACACATTTCCCAACCTTTGGCATTGTTGGATCAAAGTCCAACTGTGAAACCATAAGCTGAACGTAGCAGGAAGAACCTGAATGAGTCACCTCTCTGTGCTGTTAGCCAGTGGTGTGGCCTTGAACAGGTCCAGCCACTGTACCTTAGTTGTGTTGTCTCTGAAATAGGGATAATGCCCTTTCGCCTCTACGGAGTTGTTGTGAGCCTTTCATATTGTCCAGTGATGCAGGGTGGTTAGCACAGACCCTCCAGTCAGCCTGCTTGAGAAGGCAGCATGCTGGCCACGCCAGGAGAGGCTGCAGGGAGCAGTGGCTGAGGAGACAGTGACCCTGCCTGTCCTCTGGGCCAGGGAAGGCTCAGGCTAACTGGAGAGGGGTATGGCTGGATCTGCCAGCTCCCTCACCTGTTTTGGGGGTAGGGAGAGGAGATGCTTTTAGAATATTTTAGCTTAGTAGGGTTCATGCACCTCCTCTCCCTGTCCATCCCTGCACTGTGCTGACTCTATTCCAAGGCATCATCTTATAGCTTTGGTTGTGAGGTTCTTGCCACACTGTCACCGGAGCAACTTGTACTCACTCATTCCTGGAAGTGCTAGTCTGGATATGTGTGTTTTTTCCAGTAAGATGTGAGGCATCCTGTGGAGGGAAGTACATACCCTGCTGTTCTATCGCCCCTGGGGGAGCCACATTTGCATGTCCATGGACAGCAAGCATATTTTCATTTTACTTGGGTGAAGATTGTAATTTTTACTGCTGCTGGTTCCTGATCAGTAGATTTAGATTATTTTCTGGGCTCTATGAAATCCAGACAGGACCCCTGAGTTTAAAATCTTTACTGTATAGATTTATGTCATCCAATATGGTAGCTGTTAGGGCGGGAACTCGTAGCCAGGGATGAGAAAGAATTCTCGAGACAAAGATTAGATTAGTTTTAAAGAAAGTTTATTTT